TGGTGTTGTGCCTCAGTGGTAGAGCACTTGCCTAGCATGTGTGAGGCACTGGGTTCGATTCTCAGCACCGCATATAAGTAAATAAAATAAAGATCCACTGACAACTGAAAAATATTTTTAAAAAAAGATCCATTACATAGAGTGGCTATAAGTGAGACCTAAGCAAAGATTCTCAAAATAATTGATAATGAATTTTAATGCAATCCTAGTTTGGTTCTCGAGAGGATGAGAACAGGTGCGTGACAGGAATTTATTCAGACACACAGGGCCTCAATAGAAATGTCATCAAATTTTACCTTCATCAGGCCGGACCTAATAAAATTCAGGTTACTGTCAAGGTCAACAAACCATCACCAGGTCACATAGGTAACTGAGTGTTTGGAAGCTACACATTAGTGTTTGTTTTCATTCCAAATCCAATTGTCTTAGGTTGGGTTTCCTGGAAGCTGAGTCCAAAACAGGGATTATTGTTCAAGTGATTCATTGAAGAGCTCAGGAAATTGAAAGACTCAGAAGTTGAATAGTGCAAGGAGGAAAAAAGCAAAGATGTAGCCTCAGCTACAGACTAGCTTCAGTGAGATCCCACAAGACAGCTCTGAAGCATTAATTACTCCACAGAACAGGTCCCACATGGAGGCAAGGGTTGGCCTTTGGAGTCATTAGCCTTGGTCTGATGATGGTAGGATAGACAATAGTCCTAGGCTCCTGCAAGGAGAGACCCTGAGGGCTTATCAGCCAACACTCAGAAGCTGGGTGGAGATCTGTACAAGGCACCAACAATGTTCTTTATCTAAAACTACAACAGGGTTTCTCCATGTGCCAGCATTGCCATTTAGGGACAGAAAGGACTTTGTCATGCAGGAAATCTCCTGTGCATTGCAAAATGTTCAGCAGCAGTCCTGGCCTCTACCTGGACAAGGCAGGTGGCATCACACCCCTCCCCCAACTGTGAGAACTAAAAATGTATCCAATATCCGTGGGGGTCATCTATCACCCCTGGTGGAGGAAAAACTAAGCTGATACAAGAAGCAAAGGTAAAGGTCAATTAAGTAACTATTTTTGAACCCAGAAGAGTCACACAAAAGTATCACCCAGAAGTTTTTGAACAGTATTTCAAACTGTGAGGAAAGGGAAAGGGATTCTGGAAAAAAAGAATTCCCAGTTGACTATCCAGTAAGAAATTTTTTTAAATAATTTTACTCTTTCAGAGTAATGAAGTATGAAACCACTAATTATTTTGAATGCATAGATAAATGCTTCTAACCCAATGTAAATATTGTAGTGTTAAAATTCCTAAATATTACAGTGCTTTTTCCAAATCACCATGTATCTGTCACCATAGGGTTTTCTTACAGTGACAGTTATTATCATTAGGGCTTATTGTTGAAACTGGGAAAGTGCAAAGAAATCCATTGTCAAAAAAAAAAAGGCTCAGAGCAGAGGATCAGGATCAGATTAGACAATAAGCAGAGTTAAGCAGAAAATTTGAGAATAGTAGACAAAGCTAAAACCTGAAAATTAGTACATGAGAAAGAGACAGAGGGTGACCAATATATTGATTCAAGTGGAAACTGCTCTAACATAAATCTGTGGCTGGGGGCTCTGCAGAGCAATGTCAAATTGAGCTCCAGCATCAAGTATCTGAAACAGTCATGGAATTCACTTGCAAAATGCCCTTCCCATCCATCTACCTGATGAATGTGTATTCATCCTTTCCTTAAGGCTTGGTGAATTTCTCTTCATCTTCACTCTAAAAACTTGCCTGGCCCTCCCCAAAAGAGAGAAGAGTTTGCCCTTCACCTGTAGCCCCCCGCCCCTGTATTTAGCCCTAATAGAATATTTACTACATTGTTTTTTCACTGTTGATTTTTTTTTTTTTGGTCACTCTGCCAACAAAATAGTAAGTTTCTTAGGACAGAGTTTGTTGTTTATTTATTTATCCTTATGGCTTAACCATCTAGCACAGCAGTGCAATATTCCCTTGGCAAACCTTCATGGAGTACTTGCTATGAATTAGTCACTGTGCTATGAACCAGACACTATTTGCCATAACCTTAGTGCTCTTTCCTAACTTCCTATAGCAAGGAGAAAAGATGCTTCCCTACCCACCACCCAAAAAGAAAATACTACCTCTCATTTCCTTGAGAATATGTCACCTTAGGGCCTCTCTGCCTCTGTGATGGACACTGGCTACCTCTCTCCTCCAGGGAGAAGCTGTACCAAGATGGATTCAGTATCTCATGATGTTGTATGCCCTAGGCACCGCCTGTGATTTATGTCAGCCCACAGAGGGATAAGAAGAGCTCAGAGTCCTTGCCCATGCATTATGCATGTAATGTATGACTCTTAATGAGCCACTTATGCAGAATGCCACTAGCAAAGTGGGGAATAATATTGTATTTGATAGACCTCTACTAGACCGCCTGATTTTTATTGCTAGTTTGTAAGAACATATGTAAATCATAGCCACCACTTCTCATAAAATTACTGAAAGTCAGATTTTTTTTCTATTACTAAAATTTGGTATGTCATTTCAGTGATTTGCAAAAGGAAATGATTATGTTATACTGAGGAGTCAAACAAATTCTGATATCCAAATAGTTATTTTCCTTCATTCACGTCACCAGGATTAGAGACATGAAATGTATTCCAAGAAAGAAACCGTATTTAGACTACACTTTCATTTGAGGACATTATTTCTTTTAATAGCCTGGTTTTCCCCTACCTAATATTATCTCAAACACTTGTGAAATGTGTTGATATTTATATCACACCAGTACTTTCAGTCACATAAATTCCCAGATAATATCAGAATAATACTATGTTGAGTAAAACTTTTAATATTTCTACTACATATATTTTTTTTCTGAGTTAAAACTCATTGATCTGCATCTGGGAATGTAACTCAGTGGTAGAGTACTTGCCTTCCATGTATGAGACCTGGGTTTGAAGGAAAAAATAAAATAAAATAAAGCTCATAAAAAGTCTCATATAGCTTAACTACACATTTTTACAAAACCATCCACACACAATGTAAAGCTGTATTCAAATACTTAAGTACCTGGCCAGACAGACATCAACATGCAGAAATTCTGAGCTATTACAAAGACAAATCATGACTGTATCAAAAAAATATTTGTTTGGCTACATAATTAAGAGAAAAAAGTTTCATACTTTAAGTCACAAGGTACACATTTTTAAATATTATAATTACATTATTCTAAAGTCTAAAATAATAGTTCAAAACCTAGAAGAAAAGTTCTCATTGGAGAATGAGGTATTACAACTATTCTTCATAACCCCAGAATAAGTATCTTTGAGTATAATAGTTTTTTTTTTTATACCAGGAATACATCAAAGAAACTTAACACCCTTACAAATAAAATTACAGGCCTCCTTCTTCTGGATGGTACTGTGGCCGATGTGGGTGTGTACACACTGACATCAATGCATCCTCAGGAAAAACTCAAGGCACAATCTCTTCCTAGGTGGTGCTGGGCTGCAGTTCTCTGGGCCCATGTTCCCTATGGGCTTCAGCTCTCCCAGCTCTACATGTGTTTTCAGGGGATGAGTCTAGTTACAATTCATAAAACTGACTTTGATTCTCCTGTCCATTCTCTGTTCACTAAGCTTCTGTCCATTCTTAGCACAGTCCTTTCCATGACATAAGAAGGAAGCAATTATTTCTTCAAGTTTCTTGCCATGGATATATTTTTTACTTCCCCAAATCTTGGACTTTTTCCTTTTTTTTTTTTTCATTTCTACTGTAACTCTCTTCTTCACATCCCATTAATTCCATTGCAATGACTTCCTGGAACTGCAACCTCATTCAGCTTACAGAGAGATGGCTGCCTTGCTAATCTTTTCTTCATTATCATTATAATGATAATGATGCCTTCAGAATCTCCAACGCTACCACTAATTTCATTTCCAAATCTTAATGCTTTATTAATAATGACTCTCTAAGCTCAGAAACTTCAGCCTACTCATCAATCCTTTTCTTTATACCCCTAAAGAGCTGGTTTTCACCCTGAGTGTCTATTAGGAAGGGGGAGGTCTAACTACAACTCTGAATTTTCTTTCATGTATTTCTTTAGCCTATAGTCTCTCTCTTATTCTTCATTTATCCAAATCTATCCTTTAATTTCCAACTCAAGTCCAGCTCCTTTATTAAACCTTCCTACTTTCTACTATAATGACCTTCCACTATAATGACCTTCTTTTCTCTGAGCAATCACAGTCTTTACCTAGCAATATATATTATTTAATTGTATATTATTCAGAATTCCCTTCTAGTTATTTAATATAATATTTTATTGGCTGATATATCAAATTTGGTTGACTATTTTCAAATCAAATCTTTTTTTTTTTAAAGAGAGAGAGAGAGAGAATTTCAATATTTATTTTTCAGTTTTCGGCGGACACAACATCTTTGTACGTGGTGCTAAGGATGGAACCCGGGCCGCCCGCATGCCAGGCGAGCGCGCTACCGCTTGAGCCACATCCCCAGCCACAAATCAAATCTTTTTTTTTTTTTAATTATAATTATTATTCTGATACTGAGGATTGGACCCAGAGCTTGGTGAATGCTAAGGGCACACTCTTACCATTGAGCTACACCCCCAACCCCTATATATCGATTTTGATATGCAAAGTCAGAAGATATCAGATAATTCATTCACAAGAGAAGTAAAAAACTACATTTTTCTTCTAAGAAATCAATGTGAATAATGAACATTGTATATAAGCATTAAAGTAAAAGCAAGTTTATTAAGTTCAAACTAATACAAATTAGTTTACTTATTAGTGCATTCACCAGTTGTTCTGATAATTCTTTATAAGTTGTAAGAAAAGGAAGATAAGAAACCTAACTATTCTTACAAGAAAGAATATCATTAAATTTTATAAGAAAATAAACCAAAATTTAATAAAATTTAAGTTTCAAGGTAAGTTATTTTTTAAAGTATTATATTTAGTACTAAGTTATATTGTTAATTTTTTTATGGTGCTGGGAATTGAACCCAGGGCCTTGAACTTGCTAGGCAAGTGCTCTACCATTGAGCTACACCCATATCTTAGTATTAAGTTATGATGTATTTAGTCATTTAAAGTTAGATACACACACTTTGTTTTATATAACTGACATTTTTTTAAAGAGAAAATTATCTCTTTACTTTATCCAGTCAATCCTTGACTACTTGGTCTTGCACGTAGTAAATATTCAACAGTTATGTCTTCAAGTTCCTTATTATGAACACTTCCTTATTTACAAATTTCCTAACTTTTCCTTTATCTCATTATTCCCAAAACCGCCCTGTCTGGCCCTATTATTATTATTTCTGGCCCTATATAATATTTTAAAATATTAAACAATAATTATGAGCTGTTGTTAAATAAACATATTCACCTAAAATGAATTTCTGGTGCTGTTTTGGTTGCTTAGGTCAAAGTGGTACATTGGAACAGGGATGTAACTGTGAATCAATAGGATTGGTTCTTATATAAAAAGGTAGCATTTGCCTACCTTTATTATATAAAGTATTTCTCAAGTGGCTTCTCAGTTAATTCTAAGCCTTACCCCCTGCCTTACATGTATTTTGTATTTCTTTGTTCATGGATATATGATGGTATATGTCAATTTAAACAGAATTTTAACCATAAGTAACCTGAACTGGGGTTTCTGGAGTTGGATCTCTACTGTGATTAGATCTTAAATGTTAATGACTACATTTTCAGTAAAAAAAAAAGGGGGGGGGAGAGGGATAATCTATGAATTGAACAGGCAATTAAGGTATGCAAAATAAATGCACTGAATAATTCTAATCAACCACTTATAAGAAGCAAGGGTCTGGGTTACTGTGTATATGTAACTTCAGAATATTTCTGGAAAATGAATGACTATAATGAGGTTGACTGGTTGCTCCTACATTGTTGGATGAATTGGTACAGGAAAAACAAATGAGGTCAGAGATTTCAATTCCCAACTGAATCACAGCATGAAGAGCTTGAAGCCTTCTGTGTTCACCCTGAAGGAAACTCTTATTTCCTGTAGCTGTAGGGATAAAACTGCCACGAACTAAATACAGAGTCTCATCCTGAAACTTCATAAATGAAATACAAGTTGAACTCCCAGATTTACAGGGTGTCTATAGGTAAATTGCAGGCACTAGCTGGGAAATAATGGGATCTTTTAAGTTATGAGGCACGTAGGAAAACTTTGATGAAGCCAGAGTCATCAAGCCTCTAAATTCTGATGAGTCTTCTTTGCTAGTGCAACAGCCTTTACATCCCCAGTGGAAGTGGCTTCCCCGTTCCCAGGGGTATAGATCCTTTCACTCCAACTAGGGAAATAATGCAGGCTTCATTAGAAAATGGACAGCTATAGCACTCCATCCCCTTTCTGGGACCTTCCCTGCAGGGCAATGCTTTGACAACACTAACAGCTGTGAGCTTTCAGGTGCTTTAGCTGTTTTCAAGGTATCCCACGCAACTTCTGATCAAGGAATTCACTTTACAGCAAAAAGGAGTATGTGGCAATAGACTCACGCTCCTAGAACCCCTGGTCTTACTAGTTCCCCTAAAATCTTGAAGCAGGTGGTTTCAATGGTCTTTTATTCACAGATAAATATATTTTTTGCATTACAATTCTTAATACACATATATACCACAATTTTTCATATCTCTGTTTGTATATAAGGTATGTTGGCCCCAAATTCAAATCTTCATACATGACCATCACATTCCACCATCATTGTTAGTCCCCTTCCCCCTTCCTTTCCCTCTCACCCCTCTTCCCTATCTAGAATTAATCTAATTTTCCCATGCTCTCCCTCCCTACCCCACTATGAGCCACCCCCCTTATATCAGAGAAAACATTTGGCATTTGTTTTTAGGGGATTGGCTAACTTCACTTAGCATTATCTATATTTACTGAGTAAAAATATATAAATGTTAACATGGATTTGAAGCAACGCCTACCATGTTTCATTGCATGCCTTCCATTGGTGCTGATAACGCCAAGGTCGCGGGTTCGATCCCCGTACGGGCCACCAAATGCCGCAGTCTGGCTGGGCACAATCAGGAGCCACTTGTCAAAAGAAACTAACTTTATTTTTAGAACCACACACGCCAAACAAAACAGCCTCTCAGGAAAAACCCTCAGAGCCTCAACTGCCACCACCGGCTTTCCACAAGCCTCTCTCTCCCCCCCAAGCTTCTCTCCACCTCCCACAATCCTCCTGCTCTTGAGGCCGATTGGCTGGGTCACGTGGGCGGAGCCAAAAAAGTCCCCCAATGAGCAGCTCCGTGGTCTGAAAGGGCAGGGAAACAGTCCAATGAGCATCACCGCAGAGGAGCCAATCAGCTAGATGTTGCTGGGGCCGAGGAGCCAATCAGCTAGATGTTGCTGGGGCTGCTGTGAGCCAATCATCAGCCGGCAGCTGGAAGTTTGCTGGCAGCTGGAAGTTTGCTGGGGCCCCTTAGGCTGTGGCTCTCAACAATAGGTTATTCACTCTCTTAATATTACAAAGACATAAATGTGATAGATCTAGCCCACCTGATACTTTAAAATAGATTTTTTTAAAAAGTGTATGGTTAAACCATTAAGGTACTAATAAAAAAAGAAAAAGAAAAAACCTTCATGCCCACCTCAGAGTCTGAAGCATTAAAGGCCAGCAAGCCCTCAGCTATGAAAAGAGTAGGCTACCACACACTTTTCTCAATGTCCCTTTCACAGTTTTTCTTATTCAGTATGAAAACCCTTCACTTTCTGAATTCTATCATGATATTTTAATTTATTTGGTCAAAAGGCAAATATAATAATCCTTTGTTAAATTTTGTATGGAAATGGAAAAGCAAATTCATTATGCTCAAAAATCACTCAGTATGTCTATTGAACAGACATGTCTCAGAAGAAGAAATACAATTGATCAACAAATATACAAAAAAATGTTGAATATCTCTAGCAATTAGAGAAATGCAAATCGAAACTACACTGAGATTCCATCTCATTCCAGTCAGAATGACAATTATCAAGAATATAAGCAACAATAAATGTTGGCAAGGATGTGGGGGAAAAGGCACACTCATACTGGTGGGACTGCAAATTGGTGCAACCAATCTGGAAAGCAGTATGGAGATTCCTTAGAGAACTTGGAATTGAACCACCATTTGACCCAATTATCCCACTCCTCGGTCTATACCCAAAGGACTTAAAAACAGCATAGTATAGTGACACAGCCACTTTGATGTTTATAGCTGCACAATTCACAATAGCTAAATGTGGAAGCAAACTAGATGCCCTGCAATAGTTGAATAGATTTTTTTTAAAAAAACCTGGCATATATACACAATGGAATATTACTTAGCATTGAAAGATAATAAAATCATGTATTTGCAGGCAAATAGATGGAGTTGTAGAATATCATGCGAAGTTAAAAAAGTCAATCCCAGAAAACCAGGGGTTGAGTGTTTTCTCTGATAAATGGATACTAAACCATAATGGGCTGGGCATGGGATGAGTGGAGAAACTTTGGGGCAAAGGGGAGGGGTTCTGGGGGGAGAATGCATGGGGGCAGGGAAGATGATGGAATGAGATGGACATCATTACCCTAGGTACATGTATGATTGCATGAATGGTGTGACTCTACATCATGTACAACTGGAGAAGTGAAAAACTCTGCTCCATTTCTGCACAATGAATCAGAAAGCTTCCTGCTGTTGTGTATAACTGATCAGAACTAATAAAATGAAAAAGAAAAAATGCCATCCATTATTATAGTTTATATATCTCCAAAAGCCCATATGTTAAAGGCTTAGTCTCCATCCCATGGCACTACTGAGAAGTGGTAGAAACTTTTAGAGTTGCGGCTTCATTGAAAGTCTTCTGGTCACATGTCCTCAAGGGGGATATGGGGACCTCAACCTCTTTCTTTTCTTCCCTTTTCCACTTCCTGGCCAATTTTTTCCTATATTCTTCTTTTATATATTGCAATCATCATGTAATAGTTAATATTATAAATTTTCTCTGTTGCTTCTTTATAGACATATCATTTTAAACATATACAGACTAATATAATGAGTCAATATATTTACTATTAATTTCTTTCCATTTTCTTTCAGTCAGCTTTTTTTGTGTTTATTTCTTTTATTAATAATATTGCCATAAACATCTTTATTTATGTATTCACTTCAAGATGAATTAGTTCCTAGGCTAAATTCTTAAAGTTTAAATAACTATTTCATAAGAATTAAAAATATTCCTTTCCCACCGAAAACTGACTAATAATAATTGAACTCTTTTTCAACAAATTGGGTAACAGTTTACACTCTCCATAATTTAGTCAACCTTCCTATATTTTTTTCTTTCCTTTTAAGTTTGGTTGTTGTCTTGTTTGTTTTTATAATTTAAGAGGTAAAAAACAGAGCTGGAGATATTTCCAATTAATTATCTTCTGTTGTTTCAAATATATTCAGCAGAAAAATGGAGCTGATTTGACTGTGACTTTAAGCCACCAAAGTTGGAGGGACAGTGAGGATGGAAGAGGGACGATCTAGTATGAAAGTACCCAGTCACTACATACACACTACCTGGGTTCAAATCTCAGCTCAAGACAGAGCAAATAAAATGGCAAGTGTTCTGAGATACTTGTTGCAAGGAACAGCTGAGTAAAGCAGCATTATTTAGTCTATAGAAAAGATACCATGGTAGAGACATGACTCCTGACCTCAAATACCTAAAGAGCTGTCACATGGAAGAGGGAATAGATAGGATCCAGTTCATGCTATAGAAGTGAATAGATGGAAATCACAGTAAGTAGTTTTAGCTTCATAAAGGAATGGACTTTCTGATAATTATGGATTCTCAGTGAAGAGCCTGACCCACCTGGAATGGCAAGCCACTGGAAGATTTTTAGCAGCAGACAAATGACCATCCATCCTAGATGGCAAAAGTTACATCGGGAAGTCTAGCCAGGACAGCAGGGGACAGGGAACTGGAATTTGGGATACGTTCCAAAAGATAATAGGGGTAAACCTCTTCAGAAGCATTTTGGGAACACAGCTAGAGATCCTAG